TCTCGCTGCTTGATCATGGTAAAGGAAGGATTGAGGAAAGCGTACCCTTGTAGTGCCTCCCGTATTCTTTGTTATGCCTTCATCAAACAAAATACCATCGAGTAGGAACATTCCCGGACTTTTCGCTAGCATCTGTGTTTTGGTCCTAAATGAGGAATACTTTCTTTAGAGATAAATTGCAACTCAAAAAAATGTTAAATTATATTTCAGCGAAACGTCAGGGAGCCAATCATGGAAGAATACCCAAGTGCACAAGACGGGATACTTTCCCAGAGGTCGTCTTGTAAACAAACTCAATTGATGGAAATGCGATAAAACTATTTTAATACAGTATTGAGGTACTGTGAACAAAATAAAGATCAAATTACAGTATCTTCATACCCGTTATCTTATTTATATTAAACTGAGTTGTGGCAGTAAAAAAATCCATGAAAACACAAGGCCATAGTATATGCGAAAAATTTGACTGTCCTTTTTTTATATATGATCTATTTACCACCTCAAAAATCTATTTATAAACAAAAATTAATACTAGATATGAAGACCAAGATGTTGTGGCCTCTATTTTTGCCGCAGTCTTCTTTTGATGTATAGTAGTTTTTGGACATTGTTTTCGCAAGGTGGTCAAATTGGCAGGAAGCGCTGGAGAAATGCACTTTGTCTGGAGTCCATAGTATACATGATAAATTCCAGAGTCGAACCATGGAAGGGGTACATGCCCAGTGAGTCTTGCCATTTTTCAGCACCAAACAAGTTAAGTCTATTCCTTGAACAAATTTCTGCCGAAACGGTTGTGCTATCACTCCTCGTCCTGTCCTGACCCCTCTATTTCCTACTTTCTTGTCTCGCCTTCGTCCTATCACAACTCTTAACTTGTTTATATTTCACTTCTAAAGAGTTGTGTACTTTTGGCGAATTTACTGTGGCCTCATCACACCTGCTGTTTGCCTTGCCCCCCTCCCTTTACAGTGGCTGATCCGACTCGGGCCTCCTGTCCGGATTTGCCTCATGGGTCCATAGATCCTTTTCATATCCATCTGGTTAACTGATCTCACTCGGTTCCAGCCTCAGTATACTATAACTCCAATCTATATTTTTCAACATTAAATCAAATTAAAACAAGCTGTACCACAGCATTTGTGCGTTGGCACACAAGAGACTAGGGCATGACAAATTATAGACTTGGTATTAGGGATAGAAACAGGACCAGAGCTGACGGTAGGTCTGTTGTACCAGAGACGTGGTACATTTAGCAAAGGCTGACCATGACACTCAGAGGCTTGCGCCTCGAATTGATCACTCAGAAGCAGAGGGCGAATAAGGCCTCGATTAGGACAGATGTGGTGGCAGTAGACTAGTGAAATAGGTTAACAAAGGGTAGAGCAGACGGATTTTATGGAGCAAGAGAGTCTGGGATAAGACTAGGAAAGAGGACTGCATAATAATAAAGCAGACTCGGATCAACATTCCCTGCACAAGGGTGAAGAATAGCTAGGAATGGCGATACTCACTGACGATGCCGAGGAAACGTCCACGGTTCAACTTTGGAAATGATCATGCAGACCATGGACTCTGGACTAGGTGTGTTCCTCTAAGTACGTCCACGGTCCGACTCTGGAAATAATTATGCATACAATGGACTGAGGACAACGTGTGTTTCTATCAATCGGTTTCTATCCACTTTCTGGAAATAATTATGCATACAATGGACTCAGGACAAGGTGCGTTTCTATCAGTCTTACACGGTCCGACTCTGGATATAATTATGCATACAATGGACTCAGGACAAGGTGCGTTTCTATCAGTCTTCCTAACTGGGAATGTACCACGTCCACAGTCCTACTCTGGAAATGATGATGCATACTATGGACTCCGGACTAGGTGTGTTCCTTTAAGTCTTCCTACTATATGACCATGTTGCGAAAACAAGGTCAAACAACTTCTATACAACGAAAGGAGACTGCGACCACACAAAAAGCCAAATCAGCTTGGTATTTTTCATTGCTAGAGCGACCAAAATAGGAGCCACAAAATCTTTGTATCTATGTTTACAAATGAATACTACTTGTCCATATAAGTATACTTTTTTTCTGTTATAGTGCTTAGCTATTTTCTCCTCCATTTATTTTTTTTTCCCTTTAGCTCTCTTTTATTACTTTCTTTGATATTTTAAACTTCATTTAGAACCAGCAGAAGCCAGATATGCCAGAAGTCTACATCGGTGGCGTACTCCTTATTTTGCTGATAGGTGCTCGTGGATTGAGATTGCCAGTCAATGAGACGGCTAACTCAACTCCAGGCTCTGTGGGCTTGACCGGCAATACGGGAGGCAACTCTGGCACTTCCAAGTCTATTGATCAGGTGGGGGAAGCAAATTCAACGATTACTG